GGAATAAATTTCCTCTTACAGTCATGCCAAAAATAGTGAAGTATTTAGGAATACACTTAACGAAGGTGGTGAAGGAACTGTATAAAGAAAATTATAAAACTCTGTTGAAAGGGAATAAAAGAAGACACCAAGCAATGGAAAGATATCCCATACATGGATTGGAAGAATTAACATTAAAGTGGCCATTACCCAAAGCCATTTAGATTTAATGCAATACCAATGACTTTTTTGAGGAAATAGTACAAACATAAGAATATTTATATAGAATCACAACACATCCCAAAGAGCTAAGTGTTGAGAGACAAGAGGGAAAATGGAGGTATCATACTTCCTGACTTCAAACAATATTACACAGTAACAGTAATCAAAACAGTATGGTTCTGGAACAAAGACAGAAACTCAACACCAGTGGAACACAATTGAGGCCCAGCAATAAATCCTTGTAAATATCTTTGACAAGGGAGTTAATATTTGACAAGGGAATTAAGGTCAAATAGAGAAAAGATAGCATTTTAAATAAATGGTGCTGGGAAACATGAATAGCCACATGCAAAAATACATAAATAAAATAAGACCCAAATTTAACTCCATGCACAAAAATTAATTCAAAAGATTTGGATGTAAGAACCAAAACCATAAGGTACTGGAAAGGAAATACAGGGGACACATTACAAGTTACCACAAAGATGTACTTGGGAATATAACCCCACAGCAAGGGAAACAGAAACAAAATAAACAAGTGGGACAATATCAAACTTAGAAAGCTTTTGTATCTCAAAAGAAACCATTGCAAAAACAAATAGGCAACATATAGAATGGGAAAAATACTTGCATACTATACACTTGACAAATTAATCTCCAAAATTTACAAAGTACTTACTCAATTCCAAAACAAACAAGTGATGCAACTTAAAAATAGTCAGACACTAAATAGACAGTTCTCTAAGGAAGACATTCAGCTGGCCTACAGATACACAGAAAAATGTTCAACATCACTTTTTAGAAGAGAAATGCAACTTAAAACCAGAAGGAGAAATGGCCCATATAAAAAAGAACAGAATAAATGTGGGTGAAGTTGCAGTGAAAAGGGAACTCTCATCCACTGTTGGTGGGAATGCAAGCTGGTATAGACCTTGTGGAAAACAGTATGGCGGTGTCTCAAAAACATAAAAATGGAAATTCTGTATGACCCAGCAATACTACAAAAGGGTATAAGAGAACTTTTTGGAGTCATGAAAATGCCCTATTGTGACGGTGGCAGTAGTTATTCACTGAACTATACACTTAATATTTGGTCTGTTTTACTGTGCGTAAATGGTAAGCGATGAAGCAAATCAAAACAAAAAAATAGTTAGCCACAATAACAGGGATAAAATCTGTTCAGTGACACAGAGAGACATAGAAACAAAAGGAGATGGCAGGTAAATTTACCCTCAATCTGGATGGTAAAAAGATAAAGCTAAATCTGCCAAAAGAGAACTTTACAACACAATTTTGTGTCTCTTTCCCTCCATTTCTCTCAAACTCAGGATGCTTATTAATGTGCACTAAGTTTTAAAAGTGTTTTTATGTTATCTAGTTGTCTGCTATGTAAATGTCACATATTTGCTTTTATCATTCTGACTTTGCTATACAATTTTTTCAAAGCCCCTTTGTTCAAAATGTCCACATTCCATCTTAGCTTGTGGCTTTGTGATAACTCCGTGATGTGTACATGTCACATGTTGATTCAGTCACTTATTTCCATATCCTAATTATTGTTAACACTGCTGACATGAACATATATGAGCATGTTGGGGCTTTTGTTGATTGTTTCATTGTCTATGAATATGCCTAAAAAGGGGATTGCTGGGTTATATGGTATTCCAGTTTTAGTTTTTTTTTTTCCAGGTGAATCCAGACTGTTTTCTTTAATGTTTGCATAGTTCACATTCTCACCAACAGTACAGTTCCTTTTCCAGTACAGTTCCTTTTTCTCTTCATTCTTTCCAACACTTGTTGGCAGTCTTTTTAATATGTACTGTTCTCACAGGTGTGAGATGGATCTCTTTGTAGTTTTACTCTGCAACTCTCTTATATTAGAAGTAATGATGAACATTTTTTCATATTCTATGACCTTCTGGATAGCCTCTTTGATGAACTGTCTGTTTATATTTGTTGCCCACTTATTCACTGGATTTTCCCCCATATATCTTGAATATTAATCCCTTATCAATTATATGTTGTGTGACTATATTCTCCCATTCAATAGGGTGCCTTCTATTTTCTTTCCATCCCTTTATATCACTAAGTTCTTTAATAAATATCTTGTAGTTCTCAATAGATCTAACTTCCTTGTTTAAGTTGATTCTGAGATATTTAATTCTTTTCTGAGCAATCATAAATGGAGTTATTTTCTTAATTTCTTGCTTTTTGTTCAGTGATTCAACCCCTGTGTTCATTGTATGAATTTTTTCATGTTGATTTGTAACCTATCACTTTGTTCTATTTAGCTATTGTTTCTAATGACTTTTAGGACCATTTCTATATAATATTTTGTGTATGAATAATGATTGCTTCACTTGTTCTTTTGACTTTTTATTCTGTATTATCTGAAAACACTGGCCATAACCTCTAGTATCAAGTTGAATAGAAATGGTGACAGTACCCATCCTTATCTTATGCCAGATCTTACTGGTAAAGCATTTTTCACCCTTGAATATTGAGTGTTGGTTTATGATATCTCAACATTATTAAAGTCGGTTCCTCTTATCCCAAGATAGAGTTTACCATTTTTTATTTGAATTGCTATATCAAAAGTGGATGCTGAATCTTACCAAATGTTTTCCTGTATATATTGATATGATCATCTGATTTTCATCCTTCCTTTTATTGACATATGATGTGTTCCATTACACATTGACATGTGTTAAACAATCTTTGCATTCTGGGGATGAATGCAAAATGTGATCCTTATGGTGTACTGTTGAATTATGTTTGCTAGTATTTTGTAGAAAATGTTGGCATCATTGTTCATCAGGATATTTGTCTATAATTTTCTTGCACTGTCTTTGAAATGACTGAGTTTTAAGCATGCTTTCATGAGTTTCCCTGTCATCTCACATACCCTCTTTGGTAATATATAGTTAAGATTTTTTGCCTTAAAAAAAATGATCTATTTTTGCATGCATACAAGAGCTGGGGTACAGGCCAGAAATGTGGGGGTGTGAGGATTCACCAGAGATAGAGTGGGGAGTAGAACAGGCCGATCTACTGAAATACACTACTGAAGGGAGCAGCCGGGAGACAGGAGAGGTCTGCTGTGCTGTGGGATCCAACTTGTGCTGCAGTAGCTGTGGACAGCTTTATAGTGCTGTGCTTTAACCCCCTGCGCCACCAGGGAGGGCCTTTTTGCCTTCTTTTTAATTGAGTTGTCTTTTTGCTATTGAGTGTTTTCCTTAGCCTTGTTATATGTATTAGGCTATCCACAGATTATGTTCTCTAAATAAAGATAATTTAGTTTTTTAAGCCTTTTGCTTCCTTTTTTGCCTGTATGCTTCCTTTTTTGCCTGGTTAGAATCTCTAGTACCATGTTGACTAGAAGTGATAAAGCTTTGCTTTTAGGGAAGCTTCCCCAGGAAGTTATTTTCTCCCTAACCTTAAAATATCCATTGTCTTAAATCGTATTTGGAGTATTTAGAGGGGCTAAAAGTATTTAGGAGTTGACTACTGTATTATGAAACTAGGATTTGTATTGTAAACTAAAGAATATTGTCATCAAAAGTGAGTTTATCATTGAAGTAGGTCCTTCTATTTTGAGATAAACTGAAGATGGATATATTGATATATTGTTGTAGAATAACTTGTATTTTAGTATGGGCATTGACTTTAAATAAATTAAAGGAGACTTTCATGAGAAAATGGTAAACATACATCTGTTCCTTATTCATGTTCTAACCATTCTCCTTATTAAGTACTAGGTGGTTTTAGTAGTAGATGGTTTCAAAAAAAAAATCCTTGTTTGAAACTACTGTTTGTTCATATCATAGTTCAGTTAATTAAACTGTATTGAATGATTATTGAGAGGTTTTTCTTGTCATATAATGGAAGAAATGATACCTCGACTCATACCAAATCCCAAGAAAACTTTCTGAGATAATATTCCAGCCCATTGAATTAGATTCTTACATGTTCTGATGCTCTTCTATTTTGCAAGTTGCTACATACTAGTAAATCATACTAGTAAATCTTAAATATTTTAAGTCAAGAGATAAATAAGAGAAAGTAAAAAGCAAGTAATTAATGAAGAATATATTTTAGGAAAGGGGAAACACATATTAAAACCTGAAACTCGGAGGGTATGTTAGGTGAATTTTGCAAGCAGGTAAGTCAGACTTACTTACAGATTACTAAATAATCTATAATAATTTGAGGAATTATATAAACTGCTAAAACATGGAGCCTCATTTGAAATATAAAGGCTACATATATGGAAAAGGATTTATTTCATGTATGGCTCCTTAAATGGTGAGAGGCTGTTTGCCTTTGAGCTGCTAGAAACTATGGGCAATACCAAGATTCCCAGACTCTTTCTGATGATATCCATAGAGGATTATAGGCATCACCTTCTAAGTGTTAAGTAACCTTTAAAAAAAATATTGTTGGGCTTCTCTGGTGACCAAGGAGTTAAGTCTCGTTGCTATCACCACTGAAGCCTGAGTCTGATTCCTGGGCAGGAGCTAACCCATGCATGGCACTGCAAACCTCTCCTGTCTTGCCTTTTCTGCCCCCCACTCTGTCTCTGGTGAATCTTTTTACACCTACCCCCCCACACACACTCGGACCCTGCACCTCTGGTCTACACCCTATTTCTTCTATGCAAAAATAAATCAATAGACCTTTAGGAAAAAATACTTTTAACTTGAGAACTTGGTTTAAAGGTTGGTAATACTTTGTTGTTGGGGATAATAAGTGGGAGTGATTGTTAACCTATTTTTTAAATTTTGTGTCTTTCAGATATTTGAACTGTATTTTAGAACTCATCTACATTTAAAATGCCCCCCGCAGTTGGAGGTCCAGTTGGATACACCCCCCCAGATGGCGGCTGGGGGTGGGCCGTGCTAGTAGGAGCTTTCATTTCCATTGGCTTCTCTTATGCATTTGCCAAATCCATTACTGTGTTCTTCAAAGAAATCGAAGGTATATTCAATGCTTCAAGTAGTGAAGTGTCATGGATATCCTCCACCATGCTGGCTGTCATGTATGCTGGAGGTAAGTTCCACTAAGAGAACTTGGTCTAAAAAAAGATCTCAAATTTTAAAATTTTGTAAGAACCAGAAGCTTAGTATGAGGTCACTTTTTTTAATGTGTCATATTTAGTGAGCTGTTTCAAAAATGTTATTTCTTAAAGCTTTATATTCAGTCACATTTTTTTATTCCCTTTAACTGACCACTTTTTACTGTAGTACTATGAGACAGAATGAAAAACTGTGAACAACCTTGAGATTCACTGAGCTTTAAAAAGCTCAGAAAAATCACATGTGCACACCTGATTTTTCTTGTTGCTTTCTGCTAGACTATTCAGATATAACATTAATACAGATTTTATAAAATTAATGTTGCAACACTTAAATTAGTCAAGCCTGAATAGCAGTTTAAAGTACTAGTTTAAATTCTTTTCATGGCTTTAGAATTAAAGAACTAAATAAACTCTTCCCCTTATTCCTCATGATGTTATGAGTTCTGAAAGCATTACCTGCACTCTAACTTAAATTTATCATTTCCCCCCTTTTTTATTCTTTGACATGTGCAGGAATGTGGGATAGTAATTTACTTATTTAACATTAAAAATAAAATTTATTTCACCTTCGAAGCTCAATTCACAATTTAACACGTAAATAAGAATCTACCTTACTTATACAATTAAAATAGACACCTAAAGGACCCTCCCTGGTGGTGCAGTGGGTTAACGCACAGCACTATGAAGCTGTTGTAGCCACAGAAGCACAAGTTAGATCCCCAGCCCTGGAGATGACCCACATGGTGGGTCTCTCCTCTCCTGTCTCCTGCTCCTCCCCTCAGCAGTGTATTTTACTTCTGCTTGTTCTCCTTCCCACTCTGTCTCTGGTAAATTCTCTCATTCACCACACTTCTGGCCTGTACCCCAGTTCTTGTAGTATAAATAAATCTTTAGAAAAAATAAAATAGATACCTAAAATATATAGTTGCTTAGTTTAGCAGGAATTTTAAAAACAAGAGTTTTTATTTACTGGGATTGTCAGTGCTCTGTGTTGTTTACTTGACCACGTCTTCACTTCTGTTAATCTTGTTTTTTGTCAGTTTAGTACCTCAGATTATTTTCACATGTAGCTCTTTAATAGCCAATATTAAGTTCCTTTTCTTCATCTGTAAATACTTTAGCCCTTTCTAAACTGATAGCAGATTCAACCAGTATTTACTGGGCACATATTCTGCAACTGGGCTAGTTTTTCCAGTGAGAGATCTTGGTCCCTGCCTTTGAGAAGTTTATCATTCTGTTCGGACAATAACATAAACACATGAAAGAGGAATAAATAGTTGCAGTTATAACTTAAGTAGATAATTTCATTACACAGAAGAAACACGTGATCTTGTTGCTTTGGAGATAAACTGGGTAGTAGGGAAGAACTTTTTCTCCCACTATATATATTTCTGTGCCTTTTAACTTTTGAACATATGTCAGTTTTGTCTACTACATGCTTTTTAAAGAACGTGTTAGATTGTAGTATTTTTTAAGTTCAGGGAAATCAAAAGGGACTTTGGAGGCTTTAAATTCCATTTGCCAGAATTTCTAAACAGATTTTGACTAAGATAGCTTGAAGAAATTGGTATAATAATTATTGCTGTGTATCTTTAAGCTGACTGCAAACCAAATTATGACATGTTGCCAAAGAATCTGAGAGCCCCTTGCACTTTGCATCAAAAGTGAGTGATGTCAGTTGTACTAATTGCACATGACACTTCCCTTTGGGGACACAATTTCTTCTTTGTCCTCACCCAGAGTTAACTAGCACATTTCTCTGAATTTGTGCTATAATAGGCCTTTAATGAATTGTACTTCTCTATTTTTAAAGATAGCTAATTGGGGCCAGCCTTCCTAAAATAACTCTGAAAGACAAATTCCTATCATGAGTCTTGTAGCAGAATTTTCCCTAAATGGTTTTGATTGACATTGATGTGATTTATCCCATAAGAATTATCATCACTTTGTGTGTGAATATTAATATATTATTTACATACTAATATATTTGAGCTACGAGTGGTTTGGCTTTGTTTTGCTTTGGTAAAGATAATACAACCTGATGATTGTTTTAGTTAAGTATAATTTTTTATCAGATCTTAGTTGCCTACTCCTGGTTTGTTATAAGTTTTTCCTTTTTTTAAACCTGAAAGTGTAAATTTATGTATTTCACTTCTACAGAATGTCATTTAACACTACAAGTCTAGAATTTAAAATACTGCAAACTTCCACTTCACAGGATAAAACACTGACTTTATTTTCATCCCTGTGATTCTAACTACAGAAAATGTTCTGTTATTAAATGGAAATGTTTAATGAATTTTCAATTTTTAATTTTTTTTCATTTATATAAGCTCTCAATTCCAATTATTTCCAAATACTCTGTGGCTTAATGTTTTTAAGAAATAACTCAGAAGGCCAATGAAAACTTTTTACTCATATCCCTGATTGAGCCTGAAGTCTCTCCTGGCAGCCACTTCTTAACCGAATCTGCTAGGCAGACTTGGTCCTCCGAATATCCAAAGCTTTTATGCCGTCTTGCATACACACATACATATATATTCATTACATAATCTGAATTTGGATTCCTTATTGTCCCCAGCCTATCTTTGTAACCACAGTACCCTATACTACAACTCAGAATAGCATTTTCTGTAGTGTTTATGGAAATAGAATGTGATCAAAAGTATGGTCTGAATATAAACATTGTGTTTTTAAAGTAGACTTACTAAATAAGGCAGGGAACTGTAAATACAGCATGTTACTTGTAGTTAGTAGTACAGTATGGCATACTTGAAAGTTGCACAGAGATTATATCTTAAGTCACCACAAGAAAAAAAAATAAGACTATGTATAGTGATGGATGTTACTAGACTTACTGTGGGGATATGCATGAGACCAGTGCGGCACTCCCCCCACCCCTCTGATCTCTCTCTGTTCTCCATAACTTAGCTCCTGGTTCCTCTTCCTGTCTGCACACTGCCCACTATCTAGGACCAGGCCACCACCTTTGCTGGGAGTAGATTGCGTCCTATGTCCCTCTCCACACAGGCCAGGATACCTCCCCTCCTTTTGCACCTTCCAGGAAAAGTCAGTTTGAAGAGGGGGAAGAAGACCCATATTCATGAAGCAGAGGATCCTGGAGCTGAGATAGCAGACCTCAGCACCGGTTCAGGTCTGGGCCTAGGGAACTGCAAATCAAGTCATGGGAAAACTGAGGATTTACAACTGAATTTGTGGATTTAGAGTATTTCAGTTTAATAGATGTTTGAAATTTCCCCAAATTACTTAAATGAGCTCAGTGACAATAGACTCTTTGGAGGACTGCTCATGGTTATATCTGAAAAGCCTGTTTAGCTGCAAAGTTATTAATCTGAAGTACTACTGAGCCAGCATCTTTCACTTCTGCCCCAGCTGATTTGGCTCTATGACTCCAGCAGCAGACGGAGCAGGCCCTGACTCCAATGCCAGGTGGATGGAGTAGATCAAGAGAAAAATGATGATGAAAGAGGAGAGAAGGAGATGAAGAGGAAGAATGTGATGAAGATGAAGATAAAAACTAAGATGTAGTACAGGCAGAGGACAAGTCAGTAAAGAAGATGAACTTGGAATGAGAGGTTGATGAAAATATTATTATAAGCAGGAAGAAAGTAGGAATTGCGTAAAGTGGGGGAGAGAAACAGATGATGAAGGATAACATGACTAAGACCCCAAATCAAGTGCAAAGAATGCTGTTCAGTATTGGCGAGAGTGCTCACATGGCTTTTAGTCGTTTAAAAGCAAAAAACAGTCGTTGTGATATAAAACCCAAGATACTCACTCAACCAAAGAAAGCCAGACAATTCCTATGAGTCTGTCTTCCTCCATTCAGACCCTCTTGGAAATCCATGACCATGCTTGGGAACTTCACCTCAACAAAATTTGAAGATTTGTTAACTTTTTGTGTAAGAACTTGCTGTAGGGCAAATAGTTGTGATTAGTGAGTCGACCGTATGTGACTACCAGGTACACCAAGATTATAACAGTGTTTTGTACTTTCTGTACAATGGAGAAGCTTAAATAAATTTTTAACATTTAGGGTGGGAAGAGGAGATACACAATAATATTTTGTAGATCTTTTCCCCCAGTGCTCATGTCTATGACTATGAAATAATTATCGAAAGCAATCCTCCTCCTGTTGCCTTTTGTTGTGTTTATTTTAAAGGACTTTTCGCTCCCTGTTTAGCCCCTTTGGTGGATGTGAGGGAATGGGCACCTCTCCTCTATACTAAGGGGTGGCTTTTCTCCTAGGTCCCATCAGCAGCGTCCTGGTGAACAAATACGGCAGTCGCCCGATCATGATGGCTGGCGGCTGCTTGTCAGGCCTTGGCTTGGTTGCAGCGTCTTTCTGTAACACCGTGCAGGGACTTTACGTGTGCATTGGAGTCATTGGAGGTGAGTTGCTATTGTTCCTTTGCAAGCACTAATTTATTGCTGGCTATTTGATATTTACCCATATTCATCTTTCAGATTGCGAGTGAAAATCCTTATAGAAATTGTTTAAGTATTACAAAAGCAAACCTTTAAAGAAATTGCTTTCATACAGTAAGTGTTCATTGTTGAATGAATGATTAGTTGACCCTTTGTCCCAAGAATAGTCAGTGTCGGTGAATAAAAGGTGTCCCGTAGTTTGTTGCAAGGGTCGTCCTTGGTTATTACTCTCTTTTCTTCTTCCTGTGAGGAAAAGGCTTCTATTGGAGCAGAGCGCATGTTCGCCATAAGGCAGAAGTTGTCTGGTAGAGTATTGTGATACATTGCTGAGACAGAGGATCCACTTGATAATCCCTTCCTTGCTTTTTTTTTTTTTTTAAAGATTTATTTATTTATTCGTACAGAACTGGGGTATAGGCCAGAGATGCGGAGGGTGAGAGGATTCACCAGGGACAGAGTGGGGAGCAGAACAGGCAGATCGATGAAGTACACTGCTGAGGGGA